TGAGGATCCCCATGGTTTCTGAGTGTTTGTCATCGGATGGGGAGCTCAATTACATCTTTACTGTGCGTATCATCTTTACTCTTTGTTTCTGGTAAACAGGGTTACACCAGACTTAGAATAGTTCTGGTAGACAAGGCAACACTGTACATAGCATACTTTATTTCTGGTAGATAGAGCATGTTGTGGACTCTTACTTAGCGGTTTCTGGTAGACTTTGCTTCGTCATACTTGTATTTCAGGTAAATATAAGTATTTGCTGGCCTTCTACTTTGTTTGCCGATAACAGGGCTAAGGCTGACTTATACTTGTTTTTTGGTATATGGAGTTTACTTGGGGTGCAAGCTAAGGTGGACTTATACTTCTTCAACATCTCTGTGTTCCCGCTCAATTCACAAATAATGGCCAACATCCATGACAATATGGGCCATCTGGCTTGGGTGGGTCTGGCTTTGGAGGAAGAGGACATGGTGGCCACCCTCAATATTGAGGATATGCTCATCCATATGACTTTAGTGGGTACTATGGACAAGGCCACAAAGGCTTGCCTGGTTATGGCCTTCAGAGGTTGGCACATGGGCCTTTGGAAAGTGGCGATGACTCAGACTGATTCTCAGAAGGTAATCCACAACATAGACAATACCCTGGTGAGGGCCATGGTTTCTGAGTGTTTGTCATCGGATGGGGAGCTCATTTACATATTTACTGCGTGTATCATCTTTACTCTGTGTTTCTGGTAAACAGGGTGATACCAGACTTAGATTAGTTCTGGTAGACAAGGCAACACTGTACATAGCATACTTTATTTCTGGTAGATAGAGCATGTTGTGGACTCTTACTTAGCGGTTTCTGGTAGACTTTGCTTCGTCATACTTGTATTTCAGGTAAATATAAGTATTTGCTGGCCTTCTACTTTGTTTGCCGATAACAGGGCTAAGGCTGACTTATACTTGTTTTTTGGTATATGGAGTTTACTTGGGGTGCAAGCTAAGGTGGACTTATACTTCTTCAACATCTCTGTGTTCCCGCTCAATTCACAAATAATGGCCAACATCCATGACAATATGGGCCATCTGGCTTGGGTGGGTCTGGCTTTGGAGGAAGAGGACATGGTGGCCACCCTCAATATTGAGGATATGCTCATCCATATGACTTTAGTGGGTACTATGGACAAGGCCACAAAGGCTTGCCTGGTTATGGCCTTCAGAGGTTGGCACATGGGCCTTTGGAAAGTGGCGATGACTCAGACTGATTCTCAGAAGGTAATCCACAACATAGACAATACCCTGGTGAGGGCCATGGTTTCTGAGTGTTTGTCATCGGATGGGGAGCTCATTTACATATTTACTGCGTGTATCATCTTTACTCTGTGTTTCTGGTAAACAGGGTGATACCAGACTTAGATTAGTTCTGGTAGACAAGGCAACACCATACATAGCATGCTTTATTCCTGGCAGATAGAGTATGTCGAGGACTCTAGACTTAGCAGTTTCTGGTAGACTTAGCTTTGTCATACTTGTATTTCAGGTAAATATAAGTAGTTGCTGGCCTTCTTCTTTGTTTGCAGAAAATGGGGCGATTCTGTT